TTCAGATTGCTTGTTGAGATTATATGATCTATCTTTTATTGGCTAATTAATCACCTCCATACAATTTATCAGATCACAAACCTGGAGAACATGAACAAGTCAGTTGAACAATCACTTTAAATCAGTTACAGTAGGATTAACATAATCTTAGACAGATTTGGGGACTTTGTACTTGGTGTGATTACTCTATGTGCTCTGTTTACATGTGTTTTACCAACACACCTATCATGAGATCTAATTAGTCAAAGTGTTCCCAATTGGAGGAATGATTGCTTGTTGGAGGTTAACCTTTAACTCTGAAGCATAGACTGTGTATAACAAGTGGGCGTAGTCATCGTGATGTCACCCTTTGGTCTGTGGACTGATGTTATGAAGCCTAAAAGTTCAGCATTTTGGCGGTCGCCATCTTGGATTATGGCCTTCCCCTTTTTGCACCATTTTAAGACAACAGAGGAGTGATGTAGACGTCTCTGGTAGAGACCTGTCAATCACCGTGTAGCCCCGCCCCTAAAGCATCCCCTGCTTTATGGTCTGTTTGACTCTAAATGGACCATAATGTACTAAATGAACATCATGCTGTATTGAAGAAGACTTGAAACTAGAGATTGAGACCATAAACTCATGTTTACAATGTTTACTGAGGTAATAAATCAAGAGAGAAGTAGAGTCATTTTCTCATAGACTTCTATACAACCAGAGGAGTCGCCCCCTGGTGGACATTAGAGAGAATGCAGGTTTAAGGAACTTTCGCTTTTCAGAACTGGAGGTTGCCGCCTGTTCTTAACCAAACTCAGAATATATTTCACTTAAAACAAATAAACTATTTTCTAATTAACACTATAATTAATATATTATGAGACCAGGAGAAACTTTCTGAATTCAGTCCAAACGGTGCAGCAGCTGACACAGTAACTGCAGGTAGAGAACTGAAGGTAAAGCAATTTATTGGAATTACCTTCAGGATTACTAGAACACCATAAATGTCTGTGTTTAAATGGTGATTCAGGACTAAGGAGATTCTGACTCAAATGTACAGTTCCTTACCAAAAAAAAAAAAAAAAAAAAGTCCACTCAGCTTTTCCACAGAGGGAAAGGTCAAAGGTGCCCCGGCTGATGAAGCACGACTGGGCTCTGCCTCGTAGGGGAATGATAGATGAGCAGTATATCGCTGTAGGGGCAGAACCGATCCAGCTTTAAGAGTCACCAGTTAAAAGCTAAAAAATTAAATGAATACATTCTTAAAGGTGTTTTTTTTTTTTGGGGGGGGCTCCAGCACTGCAGTGTTCAAGCTGCAGACACGTCAGAGACCTCGGAGGTAGATGAGGGAACAGAAGGTTATAGCCAGTAAAGTCCTACTTTACAAAGAACACAGTACGAACAAGTGAAGTGGCAGAACTACATTCATCCATCGGACTGAAGAAGTCCTGCCCTTGATTCTTGTCTTTCAAAATAAGACAAAGCACGATTAAAAACTTTACTCTCACTGAGCTAATACTGCCACTCTTGCTTAAAGTTTATTTTTTCTGATGTCCTTTCATCCAACGTTCTTAAAAACTTCAAACATACAGAATTACAGTTTTTGCTACTGTGTGTGACAAGTTTTGATGTGGAAAGAGCTTTTCAATGCACCTACATGACTGTTATCTCATATATATACATGTACATATATTTTTTTGAACAGGCTCTACAGTACAGTGAACTGCCAGCAGCATCTTGCGACTGAAACACTTTCCGTCTGTGACACATTTCGGGCCACAATAATGGAGACGCTACCTGTTGTTCAAGCTGTCATTCAATTTCCCCGTGCACAACGCCTGGAGCTGCTGGGACTGTTGGAGGAGTCGTAACGGCAAACAATCAACGCGCACACACACACACACACACACACACACACACACACACACACACACACACACACACACACACACACACACACACACACACACACACACACACACACACCTGAAAGCATGACAGCTCCTTCAGGGCCAGAGAGTGCCGATGACATAGGCTGGAGAGATTCTGCTGCCGGCTGCACAATTCAGCATCATTAAACACCAAAGCAAAGTGTGTGTGTGTGTGTGTGTGTGCAAGAGTATAAAATAACAAAACAGTATCTGTGTGAGCGAATAATAAAGAGGGATTGTGCGGATCTAAGCAGGCGAATACTGTGCGATCGAGAGTGGGTGTGTATAAGTGAGAAAGGAGCAGCAGCTGCAGTCATAACCCTCAGCAGCAATGAAGAAGAGTGTGTGTGTGTGTCGCTTTGTATTTACATATATTTTCAGCCAGTCGCCTCTTGTTTTACGCCTTTACTCCACTCCGTGTGTGTGTTTGAATGAAAGTGTGTGTGTGTGTGTGTGTGTGTGTGTGTGTGTGTGTGTGGCCGCAGTGCAATCCAGATCAAATCTCCTCTGCTTGAAACCTGCTGAGGGACAAATCTATTCAATTCTTCACGGTTTTTGGTGTCCTGATGCTCACAAAGAGGGAGGATGAGGAAGAGGAGGATGGGAAGCTGACTCATCAGCTGCCAGTGAAACAACAGCAGAGCTCATCACTGAGATGAGAGTAGAGGACACACACACACACACACACACACACACACACACACACACAGCATTTAGGACTAACTAGTGTCCATCAGAGCTGGGTGCAATACGCACTTCTCGCCAACAGAGGGCGCTCCGTTTACACAGAACGGGCAGCTGCATAGGGAGAAATGTGACAAACGTGCTCAACGGCACTTCAGCAGTGACTTGAATCTGTTGCAGGGGGAAAGGCCAGGTGAGCAAAACTGTACCCACGGGGTCAAAGGGCAAATATGACAGTTTTCCAAACACTTAGAGATGTTCTCAACACCAATTTGCAGCCCTTTGGTAGGCAGATGTTGCATTTCAGACGCCACAAATAGATATTATTTCACTGCTTGTACCTTCATAAATGTTGCTAAGTTAAGACTTTTATGAAAAATTAATCCGATCCGTCTCGGGGTAAATGTGCTAAAGTCACGTATGTCCTTGTGATGACAAATCTTTGCAGCGGTCCAGATTGCGGGGGTTCTATTCTTGTTCTTTAGCTTCACTCTTGTTTGATGCTGATGTTCTTTGTGTACTCCACATATTCAGCATCACACTCCTAGAACACTGTCACACCACTGATGGACGGTTTAAAAATATATAGATCTATATGAAAATTGATTTAGCAGAATCAGAGATATTCTCTTTTTGTATTCCATGCATCCTGGTGCCTACGTTACCCACAATGCAACTCACATCTCTAGCAGAAATGAGGGGAAGGCGAACTGGTGAGGTCACTTCTTTCTATCTCCACACCTCCAAATGTTTTCTTTTTTCCATTATTTTGACTCGTCGTCTTATGACTCACGTGACATCACATGAGGCCATTAAAGGCCTTCACACAGGTTCTCAACACCCGGGAAACAGAGTTCCACGTGTAAACTCTCTGCACTTCCCCTTTCAAAGAAAACAACAAGGTGCTCACCGTTTACATTTGCTCTCTTCTCTCACAATAATTATAGAGTTAAAAACAGGGAAAAGAGAAAAGTGTGACAGTAGACTTTTAGTCCCAACCGGGGGACGGACGGACGGACGGACCCACCCCCACACACACACGCACTCTACTTGTGTTTTATAGTTTTTATCCTGCTGTGTGTCCTCTACACAATCTAATCTCATTATCGTCTGCCTCACACACACACACGCAATTATTATCATCACCACCAACAGTGCAGAGAGAAAGGTGGGGGGGGGGGGAGTTCACATGGATCCACCCGTGCACCTAAACGCTGGCATTCATTCACAGAGTGTTTGTTGTGACAATTGTTCAGCGATGCAGCATTTCTTCTTCTTCTCCGTCTGACTGCCCGACACGATCAACGCTCCCGAAGACAGAGCGCTGTTTGAGACCAGCCTCCGGAATTACATTTCAATTCATGTTTCTGGGCAGCGATGCTTCAGGTGGTTCAGGCTGCTATATGGAGGGTATACCGTTACTATGTATTTTATATGGTGTACCATCTAATCCTTTAAAGCTACCACTGTAGCTATGGTGCGAGTCATTTGGTCCCATCAGAGGGGCTCCAGGGAAATCGTCCCGAGCATCTGTCCAATCAGTGGACCGGTGCAGTACACGTGATGTTCAGTGACATTAGAACCTGCGTACAAAAGCTTCAGTGAAACCGTGTTCCTCGACCTTTTAAGCACCGCGGACCACCTCATTACGTCTGGTTGGATGTAAAGAAACTTTTAAGAAACCATTTGATGATACTGGAGATAATGTGATGACGCTCTGTTCTAAACTGAAAGGCAGAAAAAGCTTGTTCATGCAACGTTTCCTTTGAAACTGAGGCCAGCTCCAGCCGCTCCACCCGCTCCACAGGTGTTGTTGCCACATACAGAGAGGTGTGGTGAGAGTCTAGTGCTGAGGTACTGAGTTCAGAGTGTGTGTGAGGGGCTGTTACACAGCAATGTGTCTACGCATACGCATAACGTTTCTGATCAGAAGGTGAAAATATGACCCAAAATTCTTCATTTATTAAAACACAAACTGTCTGGAAAAAGTTTAATCCTGCAGATTCGAGGCATTTCAATTTATGGTTCATAACCAACCGCGAAGGGTTCACGTGGCTTTATTTGAGCATAATCATGAATAATAAAGAGATTTAATTAAAGCACTAAAATAATCTCAGCCGCACCAGATGAGCAATATTTGGTTATTTCTTTAATAAATGATGAGACTGCCTTCTGTTCATAAGACGAAGGGTTAATGAGTCTTCTGATCATCTTCTGATGACATCCAGGTCTGTAACAACGCCTTAGTTGAGGCAATCGGACCCGGATTCATTCAGTCAAAGTACGGGAACATTAGGGAAGTTAACATGACGACATCGTGCGTGATCAGGGGGATTTCCCCGACAGTTCCCCGATTCAAAGGGAATCTCTTAGAACGTTTGTCCGCTGAGTGTTGGTGGTGAAACTTACTGCGACACTTGGCACAGCGCCCCTTGTCGTACTCCAGCAGGTCCAGGGCCCGGCTCCGCTCGCTGACCGATCGCCGCTGCCCGCTCTCCCTCAGCCGAGCCGCCTCCTCTTTGGCGTACACCCCGAGCTCCTGGGTGTAGCGCCCATACATCTGGAGAGCAGAAACAGTGAGCGTCGTTAGCACGAGTACTCGATGAACACACACACACACACACACACACACACACACACACACACACACACACACACACACACACACACACACACACACACACACACAC